AGTGCTTGAACTCTTCTCCTCCTCAATCAAGGATAACACCAAGCTTCACAACCACGAAGTTGTCTGCATTCTAGTAAATAGTTTTTTTATCAAAGATTTTAGCTATTTTCAGAGCTTGTTTGGCCATTTGGAAATCACCATGAATGTCCCTAACTGCTAACAAGCGAGGTTGAGATGGGTATGTGGATTTTTATTGTTGTTATGCTTTTTGAGGAGAGAGAAAGAATCCATTAACTGTGAAGTCAGATGAATGCGTTCATGAAGTTCGAAGGGAGAGGGGCACATCTTAGCAGATGGGTCTATTGGATCAGAGGTGCGGAGGTTGAAGAAGTGGTGAGTGTCTGGTCGAGAAAGAAAGAGAGGGAGAAAGAAGGGACACGTGGAGATTGACTCTAAATTAAACAAAACGTGATCCAACATTGAATGGAGCTCGATCCATTCCAAATAGGAACGTATTTTTTTTTTTGATGGGGGCACAACTAAACTTTAAATGAAATCCCGTTCCTGTTGTCTATGGGAACACGATCCTAATGAATATAAGAACACGATCCCATTTTACATAGAACACATTCCTGTTAAATACGGTTCTCGATCCAATATATCGGAAACACACTCCTTGTTCATACGGTATTTCGACCCGCAACTTTTTGTAATGCATAGATAAGCTCAACTAATATACAAATTTTGGATCCATCGAATCTCGACTTTAAAAAGAAAAAGAAAAAGAAAAAAAACATAGATTTCTAAAGTGCAACGCTCCATTTTGACACGTTTCCTTCGATGAGGTTCGTCATCTCCGTATAGGATCACCTAGGAGCCAATTCCTTAGTTAAGATTAGCTCAAGTGTTGAAGCGGGCACACAAGATCCTTCATTTGCAACAGTTTAGGCATTGAGGTTAGAAGCTAGATCTGATACAATTTGGTGTATTCCTACAAGACCACTAATACAAGCGTATGAGACAGGTTTTAATTGACTTACTTGATAGAGTGTTTTTTTGTGTGAAGAGTGTAAGGTTTCTCTGATTGATAGAGTGCTTGTTTTGAAGAGTCTCACGATTCTCCAATAGAAAGGTATCAACGAGGTTTTAATTCACTTGCTTGGGGGAGTGTTTTTTTGTGAAGAGTCTCAAGTTTTACTGAAGAGACTTAGTGTTCATTAATCATATGAATGTATAGATTTGTTTTTTATAAACAAATT